TGGACGAGGGAGGGATGGTGAACATTATGGTGGACGAGGGAGGATGGTGAACATTATGGTGGACGAGGGAGGGATGGTGAACATTATGATGGGACGAGGGAGGGATGGTGAACATTATGGTGGACGAGGGGAGGATGGTGAACATTATGGTGGACGAGGGGAGGATGGTGAACATTATGGTGGACGAGGGGAGGATGGTGAACATTATGGTGGACGAGGGGAGGATGGTGAACATTATGGTGGACGAGGGAGGGATGGTGAACATTATGGTGGGACGAGGGAGGGATGGTGAACATTATGGTGGACGAGGGGAGGATGGTGAACATTATGGTGGGACGAGGGAGGGATGGTGAACATTATGGTGGACGAGGGGAGGATGGTGAACATTATGGTGGACGAGGGAGGGATGGTGAACATTATGGTGGACGAGGGAGGGATGGTGAACATTATGGTGGACGAGGGAGGGATGGTGAACATTATGGTGGACGAGGGGAGGATGGTGAACATTATGGTGGACGAGGGAGGGATGGTGAACATTATGGTGGGACGAGGGAGGGATGGTGAACATTATGGTGGACGAGGGAGGGATGGTGAACATTATGGTGGACGAGGGAGGGATGGTGAACATTATGGTGGACGAGGGGAGGATGGTGAACATTATGGTGGGACGAGGGGAGGGATGGTGAACATTATGGTGGACGAGGGGAGGATGGTGAACATTATGGTGGACGAGGGAGGGATGGTGAACATTATGGTGGACGAGGGGAGGATGGTAAACATTATGGTGGGACGAGGGAGGGATGGTGAACATTATGGTGGACGAGGGAGGGATGGTGAACATTATGGTGGACGAGGGAGGGATGGTGAACATTATGGTGGACGAGGGAGGGATGGTGAACATTATGGTGGACGAGGGGAGGATGGTGAACATTATGGTGGACGAGGGAGGGATGGTGAACATTATGGTGGGACGAGGGGAGGGATGGTGAACATTATGGTGGACGAGGGAGGGATGGTGAACATTATGGTGGGACGAGGGGAGGGATGGTGAACATTATGGTGGGACGAGGGAGGGATGGTGAACATTATGGTGGGACGAGGGGAGGATGGTGAACATTATGGTGGGACGAGGGGAGGGATGGTAAACATTATGGTGGACGAGGGAGGGATGGTAAACATTATGGTGGACGAGGGAGGGATGGTAAACATTATGGTGGACGAGGGAGGGATGGTGGATTAGGGAGGGATTGTATCTAAGAGCTCTTCTGGTTGTGAGTTCAGAATTCTTAGATAAAGAGTTTAAGAATATTGATTCTATTGGTCTCAGGCTCTGTTATCCACTGAGTGTTTTGGAAGTTTGTCGTAGCAAAGCACGTCGTATATATTATAATAATATATGCAGTGAGAAAATTCGTTCAGAATATATTATGTTTTCCATATTTTTCTGGGTTAGAAAATATTGTCAAGGCCTTGAAACTTTTTGATATACGTCTATTGTTTAATTACGAAAATACTGTTGGAAAACTATAAGTTAAAACAGCCCTCGTTGTGATAATTGTGTCATTTATAAAATACCTTGTATAGACTGTAATAGGTTCTATGTTGGGTAAACATCTAGAGATTTGAAATTTCGAATTTCGCAGCATAAATACTGTGTAAGACATGGCCAATTGTCTAATGCTTTGTTTGTTCATTTGTCAGAAAATTCTCACCAAATTGATTGGGAGATGACTTCTTCAATAACCATTTGTAAAATCACTTTCAATAGGAACATAATTGAATCTGCTTTAATGCAGATTACAAAATCATGTAATTTGAACACTAGCAATGGTTTATATAATTTAGATCCATTTTTGATTGATCAGTTAAAGGGCGATTTGAGTAGGATTATTGATACACATTTGTCTCACTAATACCGTGTTAATATCCACTATCTCATTAAAAACATTAGAACATAAGAATGAAGGTAACTGCAGAAGGCCTACTGGCCCATACGATTCAGCTCCTATTTTAACATTTCTTCGGATGTCTTTTGAAATATATACGAAAGCGCTCAAGTATCTTATGTTTAATTTTTCTTTGTGGTTATACATTTTCAGATTATTCACCACGTGTTAAATTCTTCACAATGTTTACAATCACGTATACCCATAAAAGGAAACGAGTTTATGTGTGCGTCGAAGACTTGAAGGTTATCTTGAGATGATTTCGGGGCTTTTTAGTGTCCCCGCGGCCCGGTCCTCGACCAGGCCTCCACCCCCAGGAAGCAGCCCGTGACAGCTGACTAACACCCAGGTACCTATTTTACTGCTATGTAACAGGGGCATAGGGTGAAAGAAACTCTGCGCATTGTTTCTCACCGGCGCCTGGGATCGAACCCAGGACCACAGGATCACAAGTCCAGCGTGCTGTCCGCTCGGCCGACCGGCTCCCTGTGATTGAATGTAAGCACAAAATCACGGGTTATTTATAGTGTTGTGCTCATTTTAATTTTGGTGATCAGTAATCACCCAATCGATCAGAGTATGTCTCGCAATGAGCTTTGTGTTTGGATCAAAGAAGATTGTGGAAGTGTTAAGCTGTCAGCTCACAGAGGAGTGACAGGTCCTTTCAAGTGTCGTGTTACTAGTGAGTGACCGACGACGTATGTGTGTGTGTGTGAAGAATATTATAACACATTTGAGATAGGTTGTTACCATCTGTTACCGGAAGTCTTGGGAGTGATTATTTACTACGGTTGTCTTAGTGCCACGTAAGTGGTGTTCTTAGTAGCTGTCTTAGTGGCACTTAAGTAAGTGGTGTTCTTAGTAGCTGTCTTAGTGGCACTTAAGTAAGTGGTGTTCTTAGTAGCTGTCTTAGTGGCACTTAAGTAAGTGGTGTTCTTAGTAGCTGTCTTAGTGGCACTTAAGTAAGTGGTGTTCTTAGTAGCTGTCTTAGTGGCACTTAAGTAAGTGGTGTTCTTAACGGTTGTCTAAGTGGCAAGTTTATATTAATAAACGATTTAATAGATGATTTCGGGGCTTTTAGTGTCCCCGCGTCCCGGTCCTCGACCAGGCCTCCACCCCCAGGAAGCAGCCCGTGACAGCTGACTAACACCCAGGTTCCTATTTTACTGCTAGGTAACAGGAGCATAGGGTGAAAGAAACTCTTCCCATTGTTTCTCGCCGGCACCTGGGATCGAACCCAGGACCACAGGATCACAAGTACAGCGTGCTATCCGCTGGGCCGACCGGCTCCTTTGTGGGGGAAAGTTGGTACCCACACAGCGTCGCTTTGTTTAACTATGCACTTATTAATTGCATGTTAATTTGTCAACTACACCTGAACGGAGAGTAAACCTTATTAAGGTTCATTTTAATATTGTATAATTAAAGGTTAGAATAATAAATTTTTCCCACTAGAGGGTCGAATCCCAAATATGTTATAGTGAGATATAAGCCACTACAATTTTGTCATTCTGGCCTGATATAAAAAATATTAGGCTATTTGTATTTTTTTTGGAGAAACAAATTAACTAAATCCTTCAGTTCGGTTGAGATATGAACGGGAAATTAAAGGCAAAATAACTCCACAGTTTTTAATGTTTAACAAACCAGTACAGTTTACACATTTCACAGTATGTCATTCAGCCTTTAGTGATGAAGAACTATCTAAAATTTCTAATATTTTATGTCACATTAGCTGTGGTGTTGCCCGTCTGTGGTACAGTGCTTGGCACAACATCTGTTAGTTATCCTTGTTGGGTCTAGAAATGTATTAATTGCACCGTATTACAAAATAATATAAAACTAATTGAAGTTAAGTAGTTTGTCAGAACATGTAGTCATGATGTCTTCTGATATCTTAATACAATTAACACAATAAACACCAGTCAGGATGTGGAGATATATGCAGTCATGTCAACAACAATTGATGTTTATTTACTGTGGAGATATATGCAGTCATGTCAACAACAATTGATGTTTATTTACTGTGGAGATATATGCAGTCATGTCAACAACAATTGATGTTTATTTACTGTGGAGATATATGCAGTCATGTCAACAACAATTGATGTTTATTTACTGCACTTCATTTATGCCAAGAGGAGAACATATGAAAATATTTACATATAGACCCAGGCTGCTGTAGTGAGGCGAATAGGCCATTAATGCCAAACGTAGTCATGTCATTTACAAAGTAATCGACGTTACTTTCCATTCAAGCCAAACCACCTCTCAGTGTTATATAATTTTTTGCCTGTTTTATCAGTTGTAAAACCGATTAATATAAGGAATTATCAGCTCATATTTAAATGTCACTAATTTCATTCATTATTTTCTTCAGACAGAATCCGACCAATTAGTTGATAGAATTTGTTTGAATGAATCAAAATTGGACGAAATTCCTAGTCTGTCTTTATGTTGTATTTTGCTCGCAAATTCTCAAGTTCAGGTGATCTCTTGGACTATATCCTATAGTAGAGAAACTACAATATACAAAGACCAGAGAATTTTTATTTATTAGCCTATATAGAACATAGAGACAGGTCAGGATTTTCCTGTATTTTTATACAAGTCAGAAGTCTAGATAATCCCTTTGACTGAGTTTGGCCCCAAGAAATGCAGAGTGAATATCAAGACTCCAAGTAAATATTACTGAATAGTAGTAGGCATCCATCAGTCTCAGGAGACTATGGAGTTGCGCTCTGGTTGTCGGTCTGTATGGCTTCTCCAGGGCGCAAAGCCAGGGTATCTTCTTGAGGTTATCTTGAGATGATTTCGGGGCTTTTTAGTGTCCCCGCGGCCCGGTCCTCGACCAGGCCTCCACCCCCAGGAAGCAGCCCGTGACAGCTGACTAACTCCCAGGTACCTATTTACTGCTAGGTAACAGGGGCATTCAGGGTGAAAGAAACTTTGCCCATTTGTTTCTGCCTCGTGCGGGAATCGAACCCGCGCCATAGAATTACGAGTCCTGTGCGCTATCCACCAGGCTACGAGGCCCCTACGAGGGTAGGTTGATCCAGGGGAAAAGCTGTTACCCATGCAGCAGGTTCCCCATCTCCACAGCACCGAAAGTCTCCAATGGAAAGGCTATACGGAATAGCGCTGTGATAAAAGGAATTCTAATTCAAATTAAATAGAGGCGAAGGTTTGTATAAATTGGACATGTTTACTGTTTGGAACAAACGCAAAATTAGGCGATTTAATTCTCTGAATAAATTCTTCTTTTTTTTTTTAGTCTCTCCATTATATTCCTATATTATTTTTGCATGTAAGAAAATTACCTTAGTTATTACGTCCCATCCTTGTTATTTCCACATAACTGATTCATAACTTTGTGCCTTTCTGGTAGATAACTGAGTGAAAATGTGGTTGGTTACTAGTGCACCTTGGTTGTTGAGTCCGTATAATACATCGGTTGTTCACCCCGGTTGTTGAGTCCGTATAATACATTGGTTGTTCACCCCGGTTGTTGAGTCCGTATAATACATTGGTTGTTCACCCCGGTTGTTGAGTCCGTATAATACATTGGTTGTTCACCCCGGTTGTTGAGTCCGTATAATACATTGGTTGTTCACCCCGGTTGTTGAGTCCGTATAATACATTGGTTGTTCACCCCGGTTGTTGAGTCCGTATAATACATCGGTTGTTCACCCCGGTTGTTGAGTCCGTATAATACATCGGTTGTTCACCCCGGTTGTTGAGTCCGTATAATACATTGGTTGTTCACCCCGGTTGTTGAGTCCGTATAATACATTGGTTGTTCACCCCGGTTGTTGAGTCCGTATAATACATCGGTTGTTCACCCCGGTTGTTGAGTCCGTATAATACATCGGTTGTTCACCTTGGTTGTTGAGTCCGTATAATACATTGGTTGTTCACCTTGGTTGTTGAGTCCGTATAATACATTGGTTGTTCACCTTGGTTGTTGAGTCCGTATAATACATCGGTTGTTCACCCCGGTTGTTGAGTCCGTATAATACATTGGTTGTTCACCCTGGTTGTTGAGTCCGTATAATACATTGGTTGTGCACCGACCTCGTAATTCAGCGGGGTCACTGGCCCTTCACAGATGAAGAGCCTCCAGCAAAGACTATGATTATATTGTTATATAAACGTTCTTGTTTTGCAATATCCTGGAATTTCTGTCGTGTGTGAGCAAAACTCTCATGAGGGGGGGGGGGAAGCAATTTATATTGCTTTAGATAATGTCTCTCCTGTGGGAGGGGGGGTGGCGCTGCTGCATGGGTAACAGCTTCAATGTTAAACTGGGCCGTGACCCTATGTTCGTTTGATCATGTGTTCTTCTATGTACTTTTTTTTTTAGTCACTACACATAGTTATTTAATGGTCGCCATCGTTCCCTATACTGTGAACACCCATTGGTGTTCCGTCTCCCAAGAACACTAGCCTGCAACGATGCCTCATCTACTCCAACATGATATCTTGCCCTCTAACGTCCTGACGCCTTAGTCCTTAATGCTCTTAATACAATGATATGCAATGTATTCCCCAGTATAATAAGTTTTAACTCGATTTATCTTTGACCATATTCCTCACACTGTGGTCTCCCTGGTGTCCCTCTTCACCTCCATGGCTAGCCTGCAGGCGTTGTTGCTCTGACTCCTGAAGCTGGCGCCGGTCCCGTTGCCCCTGGCCATTCTCTCGTTCTCTTTCCTGCAGCCAAAAGCGTGGCGAAACCCTTGTAGAAACTTCTTGTTCATGAAGCAGTAGGTGACGGGGTTGCAGCAGGAGGAGGCGTAGGAGAGGAGATGCATGAAGGATATCCCGAAGGAGCCCAGGGCCCTGTAGACCTGGTCAGGGATGTAGAGGCACATGATATTGACGACGAAGATGGGTGTCCAACACAGGAAGAACTCGAGGACTACCACGAAGAGCATTTTGATGACGTGCTTCTTGGCCTCGATGCTCTTCTCCAAGTGTGTACTTCGAAGTCGCTTGAAGCCATTTTTTGGCGCCTTGCCTTGTGGAGAGGCTAAGTTCCCGTTCTCTCGCACCGACTCCACCTGCCACTTGTAGTTGTGGTACTCTCTCCCGTGGAGGCAGGTGTGGGAGCCACTTTCCTGGTCGAGCGACTGGGTGTGTGGGTCGTGGACAGGACCGAGCTCGATGCCGGAGTTTCTCCCCGCCTCTCCACACTCTTCGCACGCCCTCGTCTGCGCCGGGATCTTGCGGAACCTGAGGGAAGGAGGACATCTCTATTATTCCTCGCGTCCTCAGATGGGAAGGTTTAGAGACAACACTAATTTTTTAAAGCAGTCAAATAAAGTCAAAGGGAGACAGCTGTGTATAATTGTTATGCAGTGAGCTATATGAAACATAATGTTTGTTTTTCTTTGTTCATTGTCCGAGGCCAGATGCTGGGTCTAGCCTTGCCCAACTTTGCAGGATGAGCCATGGGTTGTAGGGGCTGTCATAGGTGGGTCGGGGTCAGTCCCATCACTGGCTCACTTTTAAGGAGCATTAGATTCTATTGCGACTCACAGTGACCTTTATGAAGTCTGAAATTGTGATTTGTTTTTTGCCAGTTTTTTTCCGCTGAAAGGAGGGAGAAGAGAGAGGGTGGAGGGAGAAGAGAGAGGGTGGAGGGAGAAGAGAGAGGGTGGAGGGAGAAGAGAGAGGGTTGAGGGAGAAGAGAGAGGGTGGAGGGAGAAGAGAGAGGGTGGAGGGAGAAGAGAGAGGGTGGAGGGAGAAGAGAGAGGGTGGAGGGAGAAGAGAGAGGGTTGAGGGAGAAGAGAGAGGGTTGAGGGAGAAGAGAGAGGGTTGAGGGAGAAGAGAGAGGGTGGAGGGAGAAGAGAAGAGAAGGGGGGGGCACACGTATCACTCCATCTATATTATATTTTCTCCCAATGAAAATAAAACAAAATATTATTATTTATCTGTTTCCAAAGTGAGTCAATATTGGTGTAGTGTTGTGTATGACGTCACAACCGTCAACTTGGCTCAGGCTGTGGACCACATTATGTAGCACTTTAATGCCTCTTTCAGTCAAGGGGTCCCGGTAATGTATTCCAGGGTTCGAATCCCGGGCGGGTTAGAAATGGTTGGCCGCTTGTACTATCACCTAATGCATCTGTTCACCTAGCAGTAAGGAGGTACCCAGGAGTTAGTCATCTTGTTGTGGGGTTGCATGGGTCAGTTATTCCACCTTGGGGGGGGTGGGGGGATCCTCGATATAAGCCTAACGTGTACGAATACGCTCTGGCTTCCTGTCCCGCGAACCAATAAATTATTAATTATTATTATTAAGTGGAATTTACTTGCTTATTGAGAACTTTAGGCAACTGAGACCCGCTACTTAATGATAATTGAACAGAAGAAAAAACTTTCTCAAACATGGGGTATTAGTATGAATTTCAGCCCATAAGGGAACCACTCCGGCGGCTGGCCTGAACTGGGGCCGCTAAGTCAGACAGTTTCTTGCCTCAAACGCCACCCAGAGGGGGTCGAACCCCCTCTACACCAGAGCAAGAACGTTGTATCTGAACCCCTCCGCCACAACCACGTTTGAACTCCTCAGTGGATACATTAAGACTATTGTAGACTTATAACAATCTAATCTTGCTACTGATTCAATATTGTAGCTTTTATCTGTAGCCTGAGGGATAATCTTGCTACTGATTCAATATTGTAGCTTTTATCAGTAGCCTGAGGGATAATCTTGCTACTGATTCAATATTGTAGCTTTTATCAGTAGCCTGAGGGATAATCTTGCTACTGATTCAATATTGTAGCTTTTATCAGTAGCCTGAGGGATAATCTTGCTACTGATTCAATATTGTAGCTTTTATCTGTAGCCTGAGGGATAATCTTGCTACTGATTCAATATTGTAGCTTTTATCTGTAGCCTGAGGGATAATCTTGTTACTGATACAATATTGTATCTTTTATCAGTAGCCTGAGGGATAATCTTGCTACTGAAACAATATTGTAGCTTTTATCAGTAGTCTGAGGGATAATATTGCTATTGATACAGTATTGTAGCTTTTATCAGTAGCCTGAGGGATAATCTTGCTACTGATACAATATTGTATCTTTTATCAGTAGCCTGAGGGATAATCTTGTTACTGATACAATATTGTATCTTTTATCAGTAGCCTGAGGGATAATCTTGCTACTGAAACAATATTGTAGCTTTTATCAGTAGCCTGAGGGATAATCTTGCTACTGATTCAATATTGTAGCTTTTATCTGTAGCCTGAGGGATAATCTTGCTACTGATTCAATATTGAAGCTTTTATCTGTAGCCTGAGGGATAATCTTGTTACTGATACAATATTGTATCTTTTATCAGTAGCCTGAGGGATAATCTTGCTACTGAAACAATATTGAAGCTTTTATCAGTAGTCTGAGGGATAATATTGCTATTGATACAGTATTGTAGCTTTTATCAGTAGCCTGAGGGATAATCTTGCTACTGGTTCAATATTGTATCTTTTATCAGTAGCCTGAGGGATAATCTTGCTACTGGTTCAATATTGTAGCTTTTATCAGTAGCCTGAGGGATTAATAAAGCTCACAGTACTGAAGCCAAAAAACTAATAAAGCTAATAATATTGATTCCAAAAGATAATTTAAGCTTTTGGACGTAACTGACACTCGAATGAATGTTGACAGCAACATAATCTTTCGGTAAATAAGTATTTTAATACATATTTTATATTATTCTAGGTGAAGATACAGCTAGAATTGCCGCAGGATTTAACTGTCGACCGATAAGGAAAGAGAACCATTGTTACCTTTTGCATGAATTACGTCAACAACCGAGGTCTGAAGGGAAGGTTAAGGTAGAGACTTTAAGGACTTAAGGTAGGGACTTTAAGGTATGAACTCTAGGTACAGACTTGAAGGCAGGAACATAAGGAAGCTTACATGATGATAGCTTACCTGATAGACAGCTTACCTGATAGACAGCTTACCTGATAGATATCTTACCTGATAGATATCTTACCTGATAGATAGCTTACCTGATAGATAGCTTACCTGATAGACAGCTTACCTGATAGATAGCTTACCTGATAGATAGCTTACCTGATAGATATCTTACCTGATAGATAGCTTACCTGATAGACAGCTTACCTGATAGATAGCTTACCTGATAGATATCTTACCTGATGGATAGCTTACCTGATAGATATCTTACCTGATAGATAGCTTACCTGATATCTTACCTGATAGATAGCTTACCTGATATCTTACCTGATAGATAGCTTACCTGATATCTTACCTGATAGATAGCTTTCCTGATAGATAGCTTACCTGATAGATATTTTGGAGGCGTGTCTGCGTGAGTTCTTGCGTCTCAAACTCTGCTGTACCATAGTCAAACTGTTGAGATCAGTCAGGGAGATCACTGTGTGAGAGAGAGGGAGGGAGAGAGAGAGAGACGCAGGTTGCTTCATCTATGTGTTATGGCTGGCATTTGCAACATTTATATCATATTTTAGGCCTTCGCTATTTGTAGGCAAGGCTAGATTTTAGGACCCCTGAATGGTGATAAACATTGTCAGAATTTTAGGCCAGTCATTGTACAGAAATAATACATTTTTAGGCCTGTCATTGTACACAATCAATATTTTTTTAAGTGTGGCATTGTACACAATACATTTGTTTAAGCCCATCGTTGGGCATAAACAATATATTTTTAAGCCTGTCATTGTACACAATCAATACTTTTTAAGCCTGTCATTGTACACAATCATTACTTTTTAAGCCTGTCATTGTACACAGTACTTTTTAAGCCTGTCATTGTACACAATCAATACTTTTTAAGCCTGTCATTGTACACAATCAATACTTTTTAAGCCTGTCATTGTACACAATCAATACTTTTTAAGCCTGTCATTGTACACAATCAATACTTTTTAAGCCTGTCATTGTACACAATCAATACTTTTTAAGCCTGTCATTGTACACAATCAATACTTTTTAAGCCTGTCATTGTACACAATCAATACTTTTTAAGCCTGTCATTGTACACAATCAATACTTTTTAAGCCTGTCATTGTACACAATCAAGACTTTTTAAGCCTGTCATTGTACACAATCAAGACTTTTTAAGCCTGTCATTGTACACAATCAATACTTTTTAAGCCTGTCATTGTACACAATCAATACTTTTTAAGCCTGTCATTGTACACAATCAATACTTTTTAAGCCTGTCATTGTACACAATCAATACTTTTTAAGCCTGTCATTGTACACAATCAACACTTTTTAAGCCTGTCATTGTACACAATCAATATTTTTTAAGCCTGTCATTGTACACAATCAATACTTTTTAAGCCTGTCATTGTACACAATACATTTTTTTAGGCCTGTCACTGTGCGCAACACAATTTTAGGGTTGTCACTGTGCGCAACACAATTTTAGGGTTGTCACTGTGCGCAACACAATTTTAGGGTTGTCACTGTGCGCAACACAATTTTAGGGTTGTCACTGTGCGCAACACAATTTTAGGGTTGTCACTGTGCGCAACAGAAGGGAAAAATTGATGCCGTCGCTACACACACACAACATGGGATCCTTACTCCAATATCCGCTACAGTCCGCTTGGTTTTTGTTCAAATATATTTTTTCCTGTCGCCACGTCTATATAACAACGGCCTCACGCAGCATTCGTTAAATTACCCGGAAGACTCTCTTTTGATCTAGAGAGAGAGAGAGAGAGAGAGAGAGAGAGAGAGAGAGAGAGAATGTTGAGGGAGGGGAAGGGGGGACAGTGGGAGATGGATAACTAACGAGGAAGGGAAGACGGATAACAAGGGAGTGGTATTGTGAGAGGTGGACAGTGGGAAATGGGGTATCAGAAATGGGGGGTCATTGCGGGATTGATCTCACGAAGATGTCATCGTTTCCCAATGAACCATATTAAGTTTAATAAATTTAAGAATGTTTATATCTGTTTGGAGTTAGAGGCGAGCATTAATTATAATGTGATACTAAAAGTAACCTTGTGGCCACAGAAGGATAAACAGACACAGAGAGGTCATGCATATAGTATATGACTGTCATGTATATAGTATATTACTGTCATGTATAGTATATGACTGTCATGCTTATATGGCTTTTATGCATATAGTATATGACTGTCATGCAGCGTGTGACTATATGACTGTCATGCATATATTATAAGACTGTCATGCAGCGTGTGACTATATGACTGTCATGCATATATTATATGACTGTCATGCAGCGTGTGACTATATGACTGTCATGCATATATTATATGACTGTCATGCAGCGTGTGACTATATGACTGTCATGCATATATTATTTGACTGTCATGCAGCGTGTGACTATATGACTGTCATGCATATATTATATGACTGTCATGCAGCGTGTGACTATATGATTGTCATGAAATAGATATAAAAATATCTATTTCATATCTAGAAATATAGTCAGCGTGTGACTATATGATTGTCTTGAAATTAAATCTGGGTGAGACATACAAGACAACTATGCTACACGAATGATCTTAGACAAATGTAAGGGTAAAAACTTCAAAAACTTTTGTCATTGAATTACTCAGGCCAATAATTATGACTGTATATGGACTGTTATGGCCTGTTAAAAAAGAGAGGGGGGGGAAGCAGGGATCCAAGACCTCTTCCTGTTACACAATTTGGCTGTGTGTAATATTAAGTAATTATCTAAAGAAGGCATCATTCCGGGAAGGCTATGTAGCAGTGTGTATCAATAAACCAATGTTTTTTTTTTAACAGATAATGCACCTGTGAGTAAAGCAAATCCTGTCAGCTGTAGAAATATTGATGCAGTTAATTTAATTAAATATTTTTAATGCAACTATTATTTATTATTTATTCTGCCCGAAACGCTTTGCGTAATAGTGGCTTTAGGCATTGTATGTACTAGCTCTATCTATAAATCCATCAATTTTTGTAAAATCTCTTGTGTGTATGTATGTACCTTACCTGAATAAACATTTATTTATTTATTTATTTATTATGGGTTGTTTAAACTATCATTTCTACTGAATATCCAAAGATGGGAAAAATTGAGACACACTGAACAATTTAATGATACAAAAGAAACACAGTATTAATAACATTGTCGTCGTCTTCTCATCTTCTAGTGTGTGGTTTGGTCAACATTACATATCAATATGAGATCTTAATGATCCAAGGTTAACATTTGTGGTTTAATAAGGATAATACTGAGAATAATAATAATACATCTTTAATTTAAAACCTTTATTATTGATTTCTTTTTATTAACAGGCTTTTTCTGGTTGGAACATCAGACCATTTGAGAAGGCATCGGACGAGGGAGTGGGGCATGGTGGGGATGACGAGGGGACGGGGGAGAGGGGAATGGTTGGGATGACGAGGGGACGGTGGAGTGGGGAATGGTGGGGATGACGAGGGGACGGGTGAGAGGGGAATGGTGGGGAAGACTGGGGGGGACAGGGAAGGTTGCTGTGGCTCAGCAACGCGTGGCTCAACCGATACCGATAGAAAAAAGAAATGAGTTTGTAATATTAACAACTGGCAAAAGACAAAACAGACTGTTTATCTTTACCGAAACTTTAACCTGTGTCCTGGAGAGCGCAGCCCGAGGTAACTGGTGACGCAGCTACACTCACAGACAACAATGAGGTATGACAACATGCTAGGGGGGAAGCCCATGCAAACATTCTACATGCATGAACAGATCCAGGCAAGTGCATGACAAACATGGCAGCAAAAGAGCTGCACTTGCCCTAAAAATTTGTATGCAACAATATGCAAGCGACAGGGCGCATCAAACACCCCCACATGGGACATGCAAGTCTATTGTGTGCGTACATGGACGTACAGCGGTATATGTGACGTACAGGAACGGGTACCTTGGCCGGTCTCACGCTCAAGCCTCATGCCATGCCACAGGGAGATGATGATGGAGGAGTAGGCCGCTACCATGATGATCAGAGGCACCAACAGCAGCCCGGCGCCCAGGAACATGCTGAACCCCCGTTCCAGGTGGAGGCTGGGCCACATCTCCCGGCACTTGTGGCGGCCTGGGGGCACGAGGGGAGGGGTGAGCCGTGCTAGCTGCTACACACGTCCCCGTCACTCACAGACAACAATGTGCTCACAACTTGTTGCAACCTAGAACAATAATAAGACAATGAGAACAGTTTTTGGTGGATGGACTCACTAGTGTCGCCGACGGGCAGGAGTTGGGAGAGTGCTGCTATTGGCGCCATGAAGGCCAGGGAGAGCAGCCACACCAGGCTGATGATCTTGTAGGCGTGGGAGAGTGTCTGCCACCCTCTGGAGCGCAGCGGCTGGCAGATGGCGTAGTACCGCTCCAGGGAAATGGCCACCAGCGTCCACACCGACACCGACACCGACACAGCTGTGGGAGAAAGCACATGTTAGGCAGCCACTCAGATGACACAGGTGACATGTTAGTCACCTGTGTCTGTCGTATTAGTCCAACTATCAACAGTCAGCTTACACTCATCACTAAAGGAGACACAGCAGGATGTTGTTGTTGTTAAAGATTCGCTACCTGGAACACAAAGTTCCAAGTAGCACGGGCTATGGTGAGCCCGTAGGCCTTCAGGAGAGGACACACAATATATGTGTGAAATATGACAGAAACAACATGGCCACCATTAACATAGTAGAGAGAGCAGCTTCTGTTGCTAGCAGGAATGGATCTGGACTACTACTCATGGGAGGCATCAACCACGGGAAGATAGATTAGGAGAACAGAGATCCGCATGGAGGACCAGAAACATGGAGAGCTAAGCTGTAGGACGTGGCAACAAGACACTTTCTAAGCCAGGACATCAAGGAACCATATATATAATGTATATATATGGTTATATATATTATATATATATGACACACAGCTGTGTGTCATGCTCAAGTAGTTCAATCCCCGACTGCCCAAGTGGTTGAGCGCCATTCCTTCCACCCGTCTCATCCCACATCTTTATCCAGACCCCTTATAAGTCCTGTACTGTCGTAATGGCTTGGCGCTTTTCCACGATCGTTCCCTTCCCTTCTCAACCTCTGAAAAAGTTCAGGAAAAAGTGGCACTATTGCAACTCAAAGTCCCTTGCAACTGATATATTTCAGCCAATTACTGAAACACTAAATTCGAAATATTTGACTGGCGACTGACAGGAGAAATTAGATTTCACATTTCAAATTGATTTTGTAAGCCAGATCGCCTCACAGTCAACCGTGTTCAGTTAATGTCCCAGTTTAATTGACTGACACCCCAATTAATGGGAAATTTAATGGTGTTCATCTCCATTGGTATATTGGATTATTTGAGACCTGTACATTAATATATGTAAAAGGTTATAATAATTTGCATGTAGGAAACATATTGCTATATTGCATCACCTGTCCATTAACTTGTGATTGTTGAAGCGACGGCCGCCTCACTTACTGCAGGGTCAGGGTTCGATCCCCGAGAGCCTAAATGGTTGGGTACCCTCCCTTCACTCTCTAATGTCCTAGGTGCTGTAGGTCAATATTTCTCTACCACTGTCTCCTCATATTTGTCAGCGAGAAGGGTACCATTTATCAGTGTGAAGGGTACCACTTATCAGCGTGAAGGGTACCACTTATCAGTGTGAAGGGTACCACTTATCAGTGTGAAGGGTACCACTTATCAGCGTGAAGGGTACCACTTATCAGCGTGAAGGGTACCACTTATCAGTGTGAAGGGTACCACTTATCAGCGTGAAGGGTACCACTTATCAGCGTGAAGGGTACCACTTATCAGCGTGAAGGGGTACCACTTATCAGCGTGAAGGGGTACCACTTATCAGCGTGAAGGGGTACCACTTATCAGCGTGAAGGGTCCCACTTATCAGCGTGAAGGGTCCCACTTATCAGCGTGAAGGGTCCCACTTATCAGCGTGAAGGGTCCCACTTATCAGCGTGAAGGGTACCACTTATCAGCGTGAAGGGTCCCACTTATCAGCGTGAAGGGTCCCACTTATCAGCGTGAAGGGTACCACTTATCAGCGTGAAGGGTACCACTTATCAGTGTGAAGGGTACCACTTATCAGCTTGAAGGGTACCACTTATCAGTGTGAAGGGTACCACTTATCAGCTTGAAGGGTACCACTTATCAGCGTGAAGGGTACCACTTATCAGCGTGAAGGGTCCCACTTATCAGCGTGAAGGGTACCACTTATCAGCGTGAAGGGTACCACTTATCAGCGTGAAGGGTACCACTTATAAGCGTGAAGGGTCCCACTTATCAGCGTGAAGGGTACCACTTATCAGTGTGAAGGGTACCACTTATCAGCTTGAAGGGTACCACTTATCAGTGTGAAGGGTACCACTTATCAGCTTGAAGGGTACCACTTATCAGCGTGAAGGGTACCACTTATCAGCTTGAAGGGTACCACTTATCAGTGTGAAGGGTACCACTTATCACCATGTAGGGTACCACTTATCACCGTGAAGGGTACCACTTATCAGCGTGAAGGGTACCACTTATCAGCGTGAAGGGTACCACTTATCAGCGTGAAGGGTCCCGCTTATCAGCGTGAAGGGTACCACTTATCAGCGTGAAGGGTACCACTTATCAGCTTGAAGGGTACCACTTATCAGTGTGAAGGGTACCACTTATCACCATGTAGGGTACCACTTATCAGCGTGAAGGGTACCACTTATCAGAGTGAAGGGTACCACTTATCAGCGTGAAGGGTACCACTTATCACCATGTAGGGTACCACTTATCACCGTGAAGGGTACCACTTATCAGCGTGAAGGGTACCACTTATCAGCGTGAAGGGTCCCGCTTATCAGCGTGAAGGGTACCACTTATCAGCGTGAAGGGTACCACTTATCAGCGTGAAGGGTACCACTTATCAGCGTGAAGGGTACCGCTTATCAGTGTGAAGGGTACCACTTATCAGCGTGAAGGGGTACCACTTATCAGCGTGAAGGGGTACCACTTATCAGCGTGAAGGGGTACCACTTATCTGCGTGAAGGGGTACCACTTATCAGCGTGAGGGGAAGCAATCGTCTGGTGAGATAAGACGTTAGTGCCTAAGCCAGCAAGAGATGAGAAATATATCTTGTCTTGTCCCAACATTATTACTTGAGAAAACAGCAGGAGCAGAATTTCGCGAAGGTCGAGACACCAGTGAAGCTGGAACTGTTCACGTCACTTTATCTGTTTATAGCCACATGTGTGGTTATATTTTTGTATAGTCACATGTGTGACTAAGTGTTTATATAGTCACATGAGTGTCTAAGTGTTTATATAATCAAATGAGAGGTTGAGTGCCTCCCCACGACTACCTCACCTGAGTTACGTCATCTAAAATTTCTAAGTTTGCCTTAAACTGGCCTGTGTTTATTTAGAGGGGTAACTATTATATGGGAGAAGTATCCTACTGGGCTACACGAGGCCCTCAGAGACCGTCTCCTGACCTCACCCCACGGTCGAACCCCACATCAGTTGTGTAGTTTCCTTGTACCTATTTAATGCTTGAGAGAAAGAGAGAGATAGATAGAGAGAGAGAGAGAGAGAGAGAGAGAGAGAGAGAGAGAGAGAGAGAGAGAGAGAGAGAGAGAGGGGGGAGGGAAATATCTGAGGGGTCAGGCAGATATACCAACAAACTGTTTCACGAATGTTTTTTTTTTATTTTTAACCGCCCTTGTTAAATAATATTTTTCTCGAGGACATGGATGCAAAGAGAGGGAGGGAGGGAGAGGGATAAAGAGAGAGAGAGAGAGAGAGAGAGGAGAGAGAGAGGGAGAGGGATAGAGAGAGAGAGAGAGAGAGAGAGAGAGAGAGAGAGAGAGAGAGAGAGAGAGAGAGAGAGAGAGAGAGAGAGAGGGATGAAGAGAGAGCAAAATGGAGAAGAGTTGGAACTCAATTTCTGTTCACAATCTCATCACTTAAGGAATTAACTCATTGCCGCATTTCTCCCCTTAAGCAAATTTACTTGAATATAGACATTTGTTGATTCCTTGACTACGTACCTCATGAGATATTTCCCCACAAACCTTACTTTAAGAGTTTGAGAGTCGCCTATAGGTGAAGAATGATAAAGATACAGCTTCAGTAGCTTATATAACCTAGCATGACCCACCTCAGCACCAGTCTATACCACATTCTTTATTGACTTCCATCTCCATACTAGAATGTTTTATTGACATCCATCTCCATACTAGAATGTTTTATTGGCATCCATCTCCATACTAGAATGTTTTATTGGCATCCATCTCCATACTAGAATGTTTTATTGACATCCATCTCCATACTAGAATGTTTTATTGACTTCCATCTCCATACTAGAATGTTTTATTGACTTCCATCTCCATACTAGAATGTTTTATTGACTTCCATCTCCATGTTAGAAAATGATGTTCCCGATAGGAGCTTGTTACGCCTAACAGCGACCAATCACAAAGGTCGTAAGGGCAGTTAACAAAAAGTTCAATTGCTCTATCAACTGAGCTGTCAACAGCCGACATCATCAACCATAATTAAGCTAATATAATCTGGAGAGGCGTCAACAGGCTACACAAAGGTACACAAGCTGATGGGAATCCCAGCTGCCAGGTCTCGGGGTCGGTGGTCCAACACAGCTGGAACACCTGAGATGCATTGTCGAAGCGTGGCGACAATGTAGGACTTTGTACGTGAGCTCGCAGGCTGCCTAGGGTCAACGGTAAGCCAGGGGAGAGTAGCAGAACGTCTGGGACCACCAGACCAACCCCCTTTGACAGTAGCTATGTTGTGATGGTGTGGCTTGGGTGCTCATTGAGGCTCCTTCGAGGGCTTAGGAGGGATTCCCATGCCACTCTGCGTGCTAGGGGGTGCAAAGCCACAGGCACAACTGAGACTACCTGTGGCTTCGCCATCTATGGGGGTCACCATGTACGTTGGCCAGTTCTCCAGACAGTCCCTATTTCCCATCACCTGCAAGTGGAGACGATTGTGGTCTGTGGTTCTTGAAGATCAACAATCCTTTTTCAGTCGAGATATAGGAGATAAGTTGGAGGTTCAGCGGGGTCAGACTGAACCAATCAGGTACTCTGATGAGTGGAACTAGCAGGTCTGGAGTCAAGCAGGTATGGTACGGGTCCGTATCCATGTAGGTCCTTGTGTTCTGGTCTGGTAATGACCGTTGTCAAACTGCCTTGTCTACGATTTGACCCTTTCTCGGCCCTTGTCAGGTGTGTGGGTGGGTGTGCTTACCTAGTTGTGCTTGTGGGGGTTGAGCTCTGGCACTTTGATCCCGCCTCTTTGGTCGTGCTTCATGCATTCCATCTGTTAACTACTCTGACACTGAAAAAATTCTTTCTAATGTCTCTGTGGTTCGTTTGGGTATTCATCTTCCACCTGTCCCTTTGTTTGTGTCATA